CCAGTTACAACAGCCGCAGCAGCTCGGAGAGCGCCGGCTTCTGAGCCCCCCCGGCACCGGCCGCAGCCCCCCGACAGCCCAGCTCTGCCCCCTCCATGTCACCTGCGCCCCCAGAAGGGACGGGACCACCGGGGAGGTGGAAAGGAGCCGGGGAACGCTAAGGATGGACCTGGCAGCGGGGGAAAGCACGGACGGGAACTCAAATGGGTCCTTGCAACGTCCTGGGAGGGGGTGGTTCCCCCCCGCTCCGGGGTGTTTTGGGGTCGGGATGGGGAAAGGGAGGATATCTTCTAATTTCTGCGAGTGGGGCGGGGTGGGGTGGGCGAGCACAGAGCGAGGGAACAAATGCTCTGCAGAGACCTTGGGGCCAGTGGGTGGGGGGTGGCTGGGGACACCCCTGAGGCCCCCCTGTGCTTTTTTGGTTTGGTTTGACTGTTTTTTAGCACAAGAGCATCCCGGGGAGGTGAGTGGGGGGCGGGGGGCAGGCTCAGCTGGAGGGTGTGATGCCAACCAGAGATGAGCAAGACCCTGTTTCCCCCACTGAAATTGTCCCCAGGGTGTCGGGGGAGGGGGTGGGGTCACTGCAAAACATTTTGGGGTCCCCCCCAGACCTGAGCACACGCCGAGCCGTGGATGAACAAAGCCGGCAGCGCCTGCAAGTCTCTTCCCAAGCGAGGAGATCCAGGGAAAAACGCTGCTTGTCCCAGCTCAGGAGCACCCTGGCACCCACCCACCCCACCCAGTTCGGGGGGCACCGAGCTGTCCCCCCCGGCAGGAGGGAGCTGCAGGGCCTAGGGCTGGGCAGGAGCTTTTCCACTCCTAGGGGGGCATCCAGCCATCCTTTGGCATCAGCATGGCCTGTCCCACCTCTGGGCTCGCGGCCCCCAGTCCCCTCCTCTGGGGAAAAGCAGCTGCTTTTTATCTGAATTATGGGAAGAGAGAGGCAGGAGGGTCCCGGCCTTGGCCCGCAGCCCGGCTTTTGCAGGGTTTTGCTGATTTCCAAAAAGAAAAAAAAGCCCCCAGGCCCTGAGGACAGTCGTGGCCCCCGGGGTGGTTGGTGTTTAATCCCGGTGGCCCCGCGTTTTCCGGACGGCTGGAGCAGGACAATGGGGATGAGCCTCCCTGGGTGGGAGAGCAGCTGCCCGGATTAACCCGCTGCCCCGCGATGTAAAGCCAGGCTTTGGCCGTCCCGCTCGGCGCTGGTTTCCAGCCAGCCAGGATCGGGAGGAGCCTCTGGAGTCCAGATCAGCCTCGTTAGCTGTGGCCTGATGAACCAGAGGATCCGGGAGGGCAGAGATGGGAGCGAAGGGGAACTTCAGGGTCAGCTTCCCAAACCTGGCATGTCCAGGGTCAGCCTCCCAAACCTGGCATGTCCAGGGTCAGCCTCCCAAACCTGGCATGTCCAGGCTCAGCCAGAGGCTGAGAATTCACCAGCCCTTGGAAAAAATCCCAGGAGCTGGGCAGCGATGGGTGCCAGCCCCTGGGTGTCCCAGCCTGGCACAGACCCCCGAACAAGCAGAGGTGTTAGAATCGGGGTGAACAGGTAAGGAGGGGACACACTCGTGGTGCTCCGTGGTGGAGCTTGTCCCCACGTGCCAGCCCCGGGCAGGGTGGCAGCTCTGGATGTGACTGTGGCAGGAGGAGGAGACAAAGGGTCCTGTTCTCCTGGAGCCTGGGGAGATGGAGGACATGAGTTCCCCCAGCATCCCTACAAACCCTGAGCCATGAGCTCCAAAAACCATCCCGGCAATTCCAGCCCCACAGCCCCCGTCCCCCCCATTGCCCCACGGGATGGACCCCCCAGCCCTGCTGGGAAATGGGGGAATCTCCTGAGAACATCCGAACCCAAGCCAGCAGCAGGGGATCTCCCCACAGCCCTGCAGCCCCCGTGGGGCCGCGGCTCCCAAAAACCCGAGACCCGACTGCAGGGGCGCCGCGGACCAGCCAGCACATCAGGGAAAAATTCCAGTCTTCCTCTTTTACAGTCTCTGTCTCCTGCCGCGGAGGGAGCCAACTGGAACAAATACTCTGTAGAAATACTTCAGTATTTTCCTGTCGCGCGTGCGCTCTCTCTCTGGGTTGTGAGTACAGCTGTAGATGCCGTGAGCTGGTGCAATTATAATAAATATACAGTATATATTGTAAATGACTCTGCTGGGCACTGAGAGGTTTCTTCCTGCTGGGAGCACGCCAGGGTTATCCTGCTCCCTGCGGATCCATCCTACTCTCCCCTCTGGCTCCATGTGGAGCAGCTCCGGGATTTTGTGTCTGATCCCACCGAGGATCCTGCTGTGCTTGTGGGGAACCCTCTCCATCCTCTTTGGCTCCTTGCCTTCCTGCAGGCTCCCTGCATCCTTCCCTGGGTCACTCCCATTTGCCTGCCAGCTCCCATCCACCCTGCCAGCATCCCTCGCTGCATCCTTATTTGCATCTCTGCCTGCATCCCTGCATCCCTCCCCTCTCTCCCACATCCCAGCATCCCTCCCTGCATCCTCCCATTTACCTGCACCTCTCCCATCCATTCCATACCTCTCCTGATCCCTCCCATCCTTCCCTGCTCCTCCCTGCGTTCCTGCCTGCATTTCCACTCGCAACCCTTCCATTCCTCCCCGCATCCCTCCTCTGATCCCTCCCCTCCCTCCCAGCATCCCTCTCTGCATCCTTCCCTGCATCCCCTCCATTTCCCTGCATCCCTACCTGCATCTCCCTCCTCCCTCCCACATTCCTCTCGTTTCCCCGCATTCCTCCCATCCCCTCCCCTCTGCAGAGCCCCGTCTTCCCCTGGTTCCCCCCAGCCCCACACGGCTCAGCTCCCCACAGCCCCTTCCCCCTCACTGCCAGTCCAGAGTCAGCACTGGGCTCTGCCCCAGATTTCCTGCTGCAGCATCCCCCCCCAACTCCTGCAGCTCACGAATTCATGCACCGAGCGTGTCAGGGCTCACCTCCCTTCTTCTCCAAGGCAGATCTGGGGGAGGAGGGGAACAGGGCAGAGGTGATGGGGTCCCAGAGCTGCTTGGCTTGCTGAGCTGGAAAACAGCCCTTCCCCAGGATGGGAGCTTGGGGTCTGGCCCCAGTTAGGAATCCTTTCCTGGCTGCCAGGTGTGTGGAGAGACTTGTTGGATGAGAAGATGCTGCCTCTTCCAGCCCCCCAGTCCCCTCCAGTCCCTCTGCCCCCCTAGAGCCCCCCCAGCCCCATTATCACAATCGGCCCCCCAGTTCCCACTGGCCCCCATCAGGTCCTGTAAGCCCCCACCAACCCCTACAGGTCCCATTAGCCCCCAAGACCTTCACCAACCCCAAGGGCCTCAGGGACCCCCACTCATGGGGACTGGAGCAGCCCAGATTGATGCTGGGGTTTCCTACCATGGTGTGGAGTGCCAGAGGCCTGGGGGGCTCTGGAACCTTCTGGCTGGTGAGTGACCAGGCCTGGGGGGCTCTGGAACCTTCTGGCTGGTGAGTGACCAGGCCTGGGGGGCTCTGGAACCTTCTGGCTGGCAGTGACGCAGCGCAGGGCCACTCACGCCCTCCTCCACTGACTCATCCCACCATTCCCGAGGCGCTGGCCCAGCCCCAGCCCCCTCCTCACGCTGCCACGGGGCCGCATCCTGAGGATTGTTTTCCGGGCAGGCAGGCGGGAGAGGCCGGGAGCCACTCCAAGGGCCATCCATCACTCCCAAGCAGGCCAAGCCTCACACGATGAAAGGAGGACGGACATTTCTTGGCAGGGGGGGGCCCGGAGGCTGCCAGCCCCCTCCCCTCACACCCACCCACTGCGGCTGCGTGTGGCCGCCCCAACCCCGGACAAGTTTCTCGTCCCTTCCCCGGGGCTGCCGCAATTTCCATTAATAGCCAGCTGAGCAGCCTGGCTAAAAATAACCCCGGGCCCTCTTCATAAGGCCCCGCCGGCCGCCCCCCCCGGCAGCCCCGCACGCCATGGCCGAGCGCCGCGTCCCCTTCACCTTCCTGCGCAGCCCCAGCTGGGACCCCTTCCGCGACTGGTACCATGGCAGCCGCCTCTTCGACCAGTCCTTCGGGATGCCCCACATCCCCGAGGATTGGTACAAGTGGCCCAGCGGCAGCGCCTGGCCGGGATATTTCCGCCTGCTGCCCCGGGAGAGTGCCCTGGTGCCCGCGCCCGGCTCGCCCTTCGGCCAGGCGCTGAGCCGCCAGCTCAGCAGCGGCATCTCCGAGATCCGCCAGACCGCCGACAGCTGGAAGGTCACCTTGGATGTCAACCACTTCGCACCTGAGGAGCTGGTGGTGAAAACCAAGGATAATATCGTGGAGATAACCGGTGGGTGCTGGGCTGGGGCTCTGCGGGGTCTCCCGGGATGGAGCGTTCCCACCTTTCCCCCTGGAGCCTGCTGGGGGGATAAGGGTGGAATAAGGGATGGGAAGTGAGGGAAGGAAAAGCAGAAGGAGGTGGAGGAGAGGAGAGAGGAGAGGAAAAAGGGAAAGAGGAAAGGCAGAGGAAGGCCCAGTACTCCAGCTCAGTCTCAGGGTGCACTCAGGTGCAGAGACCCCCCCAGCCTCATCCATTGAGCCCTTGCTGCTGCTCCAGGACACAGGGAGGGACCCCTTGGCTGGAGCCACAGAGGGATCTGGGGGTGATGTGGGGTGTGATGAGCCCCCAGCCCCTGTGCTCCCCCACAGCGCCCTGGATGCCGTGACAAAGCCCAGATCTGTGGCACGAGGCCAGGACGTGCTTCCTGCCGGGTGAGGGGGGCCTGCAAGGAATGGGGACAATTCTCCAGCCAGATGAACTCGGGGTGCAGCCCCAGGGAGAGGGGGTGCTCAGTCTCCAGCCCTGCCAAGCTGTGGGGCCAGCTGGTCACTATTGGGCCACACCCAGCTCCTGGCGCTGCAGTTCGCTTAAATTTGGGGGATGCACACGGAGTGGCCCTCCAGGGGGTCCCCCCAAGTTGCTCCAGGCTGATATTATGGCAAAAACCCAGAATGGGCAGGATCAGCCCCTCACAAGTGTTGGGGTGGGGCAGGAAGGCTCCCACCCAGCCAGTCCCTCCCAACATAACCAGTCAAATCCTTTTCCCTCCTAACAAAACCAATCGAGTGGTTTTGTTTCCTTCCAGGCAAACACGAGGAGAAGCAGGACGAGCACGGCTTCATCTCCAGGTGCTTCACCCGAAAATACACGTAAGTACCAGAGAGGAGGGGAGCCGCCTGACGCAGCCCCCTGATGTCTTTGGGGCCATTTTCCCACCCACCCACGCCCTCCAAAAGCCCACTGGCCAAACTGGGAATGCCTCTCAGCCAAACTGGGAGTGGGAGAGGCAGCAATTTGGGGCTGAACATTGCATCCCCAGGGTTGGTGCTGCAGCCTTGACCTCCCCCTCTCCTCCCCTCCCAGCCTTCCCCCTGGCGTGGAAGCCACGGCCGTGCGGTCCTCGCTGTCTCCCGATGGAATGCTGACAGTGGAGGCCCCCCTGCCCAAACCCGCCATCCAATCTGCCGAAATCACCATCCCTGTCACCGTGGAGAGCCAAGCCAAGGAGCCGGCCAAGAAGTAGGCGGCACCGAGGAGGAGGAGGAGGAGACAGAGGAGGAGGAAGAGGAGAAGCCGCCGTTGCCCCCCTGCCGCCCCCAGCTGCCCCCTCACACCCACCCCCTTTTTACTGTTGATTTTGTACTTGCCCTGCCACTGAGTGCCTTGAATAAATGTGAAGGAACCGACAGAATCAGCCAGAATAAAAGCTGGTGAAAGAAATCCGTCCTTGTGCCGTGTCCGTGCTGGCACCACGGCTGTGCCGTTCCCGCTGGCAGCTGCACCGGGATGGGACCCGCAGGAGGGTCCCCGAGCCCTGCCCAGCACTTGGGGTCTGTAACCCAGGGCTCCACAACTCAGATGTTCTCATCCCAAATCCTCTCAGCATCTTGGGGTCAATGTCCCAGACCTTCACACTCTGATAGCCCACATCTGGATCTCCTACATCTCCATATCTCCATATCCACCTCCAGCATTCTGGGGGTTTTACATCCCAGATCTCCAACATCTCTGGCGTTCATATGCCCGGTCTCAGACATCCCTGGCTCAGCATCCCAGTTTTCCTCAGCCCGGGTCTCCTACGTCCCAGGTGTATCCAATCCCAGATTTCAGCAGAGTGAGTCTGCTCATCCCTGCTCTCCCACACCCAGGGTCTCCACACACCCCATCACAATATTTGGGGTTTCCACACCCCTTGTCACTGTCCTGGGATGCTGCATCCCTAAAAAACAAGTACACAAACATCCCCTCTGGGTCAGAGGGCAAATTGGGTCTTCATGGGCAAGAACTCACCCCAGCAGTGCAGCCCCTTGAGCCCCATCCCTGCATCCCAGTGCTCTCCCTTCCTTCCACCCCGTTGTCTGAGGGGCTGGCTTGGGGGTTCAGCTGGGGGGCTGCAGCCCCCCTGGGGGGCTGAAGAAGGGTTGTTGTTGTGGTCCTGGTGCCATTTGGCCCCGGCTGGCCCCGTGTCCTCTGTGCCCTCCATGCCCCCGGGTCTCTGGGCAGGACTGGCCCTACATGGCCGAGGTCAGGCCCACGGCTTCGATGTCCCCCGATGTTCCCTGCTCCGTCAAATCCCACTAATCCCCCCTGAGTCATCCCGCTGGCAGACGGTGACCTGGGAGGAATCCTGCAGCTGCGAGGCCCCTCTCCGAGCTCGGGGGGCTCCACGTACCCCCCGAGCCCCTGCCCCCCACCCCCTCTGCCCACCACTCTCGGGTGTGAGGAGTTTGGCAGCTCTCAGGCAGATATTGGGGATCAATTCCCGATCCCGGAGATCAATTCCTGCTGCCGGGGGTGACGCCTGTGCTTGGGGGGGTTCCCATGTGTGTGAGAGTCGGGGTGTGAGGCTTTTCCAGCCCAGGCACGACTCCAGGGGAAGAAGCCCCCCAGGAGCATCCCCAGCCCCCTCCCCTCTCCTCACACAGCCCCCAGCCGGGGGTGGAGGCTGTGGGACTGGGATGGGGGTCGGGGTGTTCCCCTCCCTGCCCCACTCCTCGCCAGGTGCCGGGGGCTGTTCCCAGCCCCTCGCCGGGGGTGTCGGTCCCGCAGCCCCGGCTCGCTCGCAGGGCGCGTGAGTCAAGGCGCATTTTCTGTTTATAGTTTCCCGGGGAGAGGAGTATTTTTACAGAGTGAGTCACGGCGCGTGTGGCTGCGAGCGGAAAACCATGGGGAAGAGAGGGAGGTGGGGAAGGACGGAGGTGGGGAAGGTCCCACCCAGCCGCTCCTGAAGCGCCTCTGCCCCGGGGAGGAGCCCGCTGAAGCCTCAAACCGCAGGGATGCGGATCCTCAGCAGCAGCGGAAGGGAGGTGACCCCAAGAGCAGAACCCAGGTTCCCGAGCCCCCCCCCCGTCCCACGGAGCCCCCCAGAAAAGTCGAGACAGGCGATAACAATTAAGCAGTGCTGACGTCAGATCTGTAAGTTTATTTGCTCAATGTACGACGGCTACATAATGACTCACATTCATGATATTCCATCACTGAGGAAAAACTGCTAAGAATGGTCCGTGTGTGAAATAATTCCTTACAGAAACACGGAGTTGGAAAAATAATCACTGATTAGACCTTAAAAATAGTTCACTGCATAACATGACAAAAAGCACAAACAAAGGCTCATTCAAAGAACACAGTCATTGTTCTCCTACACTGTAATAGTTATAATTTCACCATGACGAACACCAGACATTAAGATTAAGCTAACACTGGTGTTTTCTTTTGCTTTTTTTTTTTTTCCTTTTTAAAAACAAAATCATATATAATTGCATGTCACTATAGCAACATCCATAACAGATCAGTTTGTTACGATCACTATTTGGTAGAGCAAACTTTACCCCCGAAAAAAAAAAAAAGGAAAGAAAAATAAATTAAAAAACTTTAAAAAATTTTTGAAGACTATTTTGTCATAGGAATACATAACATCTACAGTATAAGTTAATAAATTTCAAGCTACTGTATAGAAATACGACACTAGCATGCACAATATTGTATCAATAGAGTAATGGAGCAGTAATCATTTCACTGGAGAGACAGTATCATAGGCAAGTGCATCTCTTAAAAAATGAAAGAAACCATTCAAGCTGCTTAAAAATCAAGTCCCTGACCCCCACTCTGTTTTTAGCCCTCTTGTGCCATCTCTCCTGCATAAGTTTCCTAAAGCAGCCAGAGCAAAAAGCCAAAAAGAGTAGTAATTATTTGGGGTAGAAAAAAAAGAAGAAAAAAAAAAAAAAAAAGAAGATAGGTTTTGTAATTCCAGTAAATCACTTCCAAATTATACAGCTGGGACAACACTGCTCACGGGACATGGGGGTCGATGAGAGGGAGGTCAGAAGCCTAAAGCAGCTCCCGGTCCTGGCAGGCGCCGGCACCGCACGCCCCTCGCCGCGGGATGCTGCGCCCCAATCCCCCGGGGGAGCCTCGGAGCAGGGGGAGCCTCGGCCAAAACAAAGCAGAGACGGGGCAGGGCCGGGGCTCAGGGGCTCCCGGGCATCGGCTCGGGGC